GTGGAACCAAACGTATAAGAACGGCTACACTTATTAGGAAAAAGAAAAAAAAAATTGAAGCTTTCACATTGAAACAAGTAGATAGACTTGACTTCATGACTCTGTATACTAACAACAACTTCACTCATTTCAGTTTTCTAAAATTTAAATGGTATGCAGATACATCGGACACATGAAAACGAAAAACGAAATAGTTATAGTCACAACTCACACCTTAAAAGATAGTATGATGATGTAAAAAGAAAGTTTCTAACGATTAGTGACACAGCTAGAAATTTAGCGAAGGATATGAAAATTGTGAATAGTAAGCAAATGGTCAATTATGAGTTTGTTAAACTTAAATATGTGAATACTCTGCCTATAATAATTTAGCTTAAATCATAAGGTTAGTGATTTTTCTATTTTTTTTATAATTATATATAATTTATGATTCACTGGACCGACTAAGTTAGATTCACGCTTTTATAAGTCTTGTTTAAGAGAAAAACGCTTCTTATATTGAATCTTCTTAGCTTTTTTTGTATTATTTTATATATATTTCGACTTTTCTGATTAAAATTTTAGCTTCGACCCAACTTGTATTCGAAGAAAATAATTGATCTATCAAACAACTAGACTTTGGGACATGTTAGCAAGTCTTTAATAAACAGACAAAAAAGAAAAAGGGACCATCAAGACTAAGAAATTGGACAAATTTGTCACATATTATATAATTGACTTGGTCTTATAGAATATAGTATAAAGTATATAGTAATTTCTCATTGTTTTTCTTCATGTGAAAACAACACATGTCTATTTTTATCTTTGAATTGAGGTTTCCATTTAGCTCATTCTATGTTTTTATTTTGAAATTATATGTTGTGATACAATATTGGTTGTCAGGAATTTGGTGAAAAATGTTCAAGATTTAATATGTATGTAATAAAAAGTAATTTTTTTTTATTTATATATTCAGTATATCTTTTATATATGCACACAGAATAATTTTTTGATAAAGGATATTCAATTGATAACCATTCATTTTTATGTGGCTTGTTAATAATTTTTTCTATAGAATTTGTGGATACGGAGATTATTTATTACTCTTTCTATTTCAATTTATATGGCATTATTTTCTTATTAGTTCTTTTCAAAGAGAATGAATTGTTTTTATATTGAAACGATTAAACTTTAAACATTGTATTTTGCTCTCAGTAAAAAGCTTTTATAGTCACATAAATGTCTTGATATGTTTAAGATCATAAGTTTTAAAGTCTTATAATTAGAGTCCAGATAACTGTTATGATATATTCAAGATCACAAGTGTCAAAAATATTTTTTTTTCTTTCTTAAATTATGTTTTGAGTCAAATTACATCACAAAATTGAAACAAAAATATTTGTGTGAAGCATAATATACCTCAAAATGTCTCATCACTTTCAAGTTCCTAGTGAACTTGAATGCTAGATAAAACTTGTCCCATCAGTTTTTCTGTCCACAACTTATGGACAATACACAAATGAAATTGTGTTAAGTGTCACATATTGATTGGCGGAATGGATTGTTGTGTTATGATCTTGGATAGTCCTCATCTCGACAATTAATTTTTGGGACTAAGTTAGCTCTAACGCCCATTTTATTCAACAAGGTATTAGCTCGATCTTTGTTGTTGATTTATCCTATGTAAAGTTGACCTATATATTATAGAACTAGTCTCCGGGCACGTACGTTGCACGTGTATTCCAAATAAAAATCAATAAAAAAAATAAATGAAAAAGTATATAATAAACTATTAGGAGAATTATGATGTTTTTTTCGAGTGTTCTCTCGATATTTTCGATCTACTGCACATTAGATAAGTCTCCAAAACTTACCCATTTATAAGCAACTAAATATACAGACAGTCATCAACAAGTAAAATTTCCAAGAAAGACACATCAAGCTAAAGAATTAAAAAGGGAAAATGCGTCGTTACTTAAAGTCATCTTGTATCCTTAATGTGTGTCGTTACAAATGTAACTACTTCCTTAAAAACTTTCAGATGTACCCAGACTTACATTTACAGGCTTACAACTAATATCCATCAGAAGACTTGGAGTTACTACATTTGTTGAAGAAAATGTGATATATTTTGCTAGCAAACAACTGCAATTTCAATTTATTCTTAATAGTTTAAAAGTTTAAACATGGTTTCTTTTCTGTGGGAAGCTATGCGTAGAGAGTCTCAAAGAGAGTTGATCATCATTCAGCATCAAACCACATGTGTACAACAATATTTAATTTTTGATATGTGTGATTATACCTTTCAAACTATTTATTTTACCTATTAAAAAAATTAGAAAGTTATCATTCAAATGAAGTTAGCAAATCAAACGGAAAAAATCTAGACTTAATAAGATTGTACCTGAAAATTAGAAGACATTTTTGTACCCACTTAACAATGGAAGCTTGTGTTGAATGACTAATATTGAGTATGTTTATATAGTGTAGTCTTGAAGATTTGTTGATAAAAACTCTTTGATATTCCTCAATTACTTAATTTGATCTCTTTCAACTTCTCATAATTAGCAAAATACGTTTCAACTTATATATTAATTGAAACTTTATTAGTGTTCATCCTATTTGGTTGTTCCATACATAATAATTGAATAGACTGTTGAACTTTTCATTTTGCTCCTCTATTATGTAATTCAATATTACTATTTAATTAGATATTTAATTTATATTTGGGTAAAGTATTTTATTACTTTTTAATTTAGTATAGGGGTAAAGTAGTAATTCAACTTTACACTTTAGAGCCTCATGCTTATAATAATACTAGTCCTGTACACGTGTGTCTCGTGTTAGTCCATGTTGACTCATTTGAATATATATATATATATATATATATATATATATACATATATATATATATATATATATATAAACCTAAAAAAATTTAACAAGTTAAGTTAGGCTTGCACAATATTTAGAGAGTCTACTGTTTGTATTTTAAAGAATAAATATGTGGTATAGATGCAACAAATATTATAATATATATTTGATATAATATTTATTACGATTATGATTATATTTAATTTGTCTTTCACAAAATTATAATATTAGTATGTAATAAAATGATTATTGCTTTTGAAGGCCCTCAATATGATGATGGATTGCTATAAATTTGATATTAAAGAATGATATAAATACATGTGCATATAAGAATAAACTCTTCTTATCTATAGCAAATTTATAAGTGGTTCGATATCTGAAATGTGATTTCTCGTATACTCAAATATAAGATAATTCCTCATTTTAAATTGTAATCCCCTTCTTCACTTCACAAAATTAAATCGTTAATGAGTGACACTCATTCAATATTTTATGATGTCATAATGATCCAACACTTGAAAGCGGTAAAAGTTATTTAAAACTCTCATCTCAGGTTGCAGATTTGTTAATTTGGAGAATCATAGTTAAAGGATGAATTTTAAGAAATTGTTAAACTAATTTAATTTTTAATTATATTTCTATTTTATAAAGTTTGTATTGAACTACTAATAGATGTTAAAATTGAAACATGATTATCGTGTTAGATTTTGTAAGAACTATATTTAATCAAATAAAATAACTAAAAAATTCTTTATAATGAGATTTAAGAATAATAGAAAATTTCAAATTGCACTTGAAAAAATTCTTTCTAAATCATGAATACGAGCTTACTATTTAAATCACGAAAGACGATTTCTCATAGCCTATTTAATAATTGATTTCTCAAATAGAAACTAAAACACATTATACAATCTACAAGCTATAATTTTCTTTAAAATGAAAATTTTTAAACAAAATAATATAACATGCAACCAAAGCTAAACAAATTAATTAACATTGCATCAAACGGTTAGTTAGATGTGATTTACACTCCTAGCTGTATATTGTGTTAACTGTTGCCTATATATATATTAGATCAAAACATCTTCAATTAAAAACTTTGATTGCAATTTCTTAATAATTCTCTTTTGATCTCATGACATGTTAAAAACAACAGGAAAAAAAAAATTTAATATGATAACAATGAATTTTTTTAAATAAGTTAATTATACATTAAAAAAAAAAACAACTTATCTAAAGCATGAATATAATATGGAAAATAAAATTGATTTGAACCTCCGGGAAGACTTAAATATTCCTTCTCTCGTTGTAAACTCCGTTAGAGGATCTAACAATTTGTACATATTTCCTTTCTGTAAACAACAAATGAAGATAAGAAGAATTAGTAATCAGTGTTATGAACGGAAGCTAAAAGTGATTTAACTATATACTAAAGGATAAAAACAATACAAATATAGACATTTTTTTTTTAATTTCTTCCAAACTGTACCTAAATATCTTCAAAGTGTATAGATTATTGTGTCAAATACCACAATTTATAGGATATCATTGAGTAAAATCAAAAGGTCTCATAATTATGACATCAACTTCTTGAGTGTGGAAAGATTATGAAGGTGTGAATATTAATGATGAGATAGTGGAGGTGTGGTATTAATACACATTATGACAAAATTACACCTAAAACTGATTAGATAGAGAAATGAAAAGTTTCTCTAATACCTTTTTGTAATAACTTTATAATTAATTATTGTTACAACTATTCATTCTCCTACTTTATTTTAACAACAAGTGAATTAAGTTAATTAGCAATTTAAGCATATTTAATATTTAATTAATTAGATATTTTATTATTTTTTAATTTAGTATAGGGGCAAAATAGTAATTCAACTTTACACTTTAGAGTTTCATGTTTATAATAATATATGATATGATTCATGTTTCAAATGTTCAATCCTGAATATAACATGTTGCTTACCATCATTGTACTCGGGACTTGTGGTGCTTACTCTTAAGAAATATCATTCGATGTGTGTTAAATCCTCAAAATATGCACTTTTTAAGGATCTGATACGGGTGCATAGCAACATTGTAATAGAAAGTCCGAGCAACATAGATTAAGACCAGAAAAAAATCATAAAAAGAAGTCATTTAATGAAAATTGACAATTAAAAAAGCAAAAGAAGCATAACATCATGAACATAATTTATTATATGTAAAATTCCTATAAGCTCAAATGCTTTAGCTAAGAGTTAGTAGATTCTGAAGTCTGAAAACTACATTAGCTAAGATATTCACCTCTCGAACTCTTCAAAAATATCGTCAGATCCTTCAAAAGCCACACATTTTACAAGGATTTGTCACGAGTGCAGCAATATTTTTTGAGTTTCCGAGCAACATAGATAGTCACTCACTCACTCACTAGTGCTTGTTGTGGTAGAGCCACTAATCCATACCTCACTATTAGTATCTGACGAACTTATGAACTTAACTTTCTTTAACAGTGCAACTTCATCTGATTCAGAGGAAAATGGAGGGATATCAACACTCTTAGACTTGAATAAATTGTCAAATGTCTTCTCATTTTGATGAAACTCTCCACCTTGGATCTTTCTTAAAATGTCCAATACTTCATCCATTGTTGGCCTGATATCCTTATCAAGTTGCAAGCATCGAAAAGCTAGCTCCGCGACAGAGATTGTCATTTTCTTAGCAAGCGTATCTGAGTTTAGCCCGAGTGATGGATCGATCAGTTCATCAAATGCACATCTTTGTATCCTGTTTATCGCCAAGTTAGCCAAATTGACCTCGTTCTTTTGCCTGTTCAAGTCAACAGCTGGCATTGATGATACAAGCTCGATTAGGACAACCCCGAAACTGTAAACATCACTTTTGTCGGTAAGCTGATAACACTCGTGATACTCAGGATCAACGTACCCGAGTGTTCCTTGAGGAGCTGTTGATATGTGAGTAACGTTGTTGGGGAAAAGTCTCGAGAGTCCAAAATCTGCTACTTTGACACGAAAGTTGTTGTCGAGAAGGATGTTGTTAGTCTTGACATCGCGATGTATCACATCAGAAGCATGGAGGTAAGCCAATGCACTGGCTGTTTCAACTGCAATGTTCATACGGATGGGCCATGTGAGAGATCCCTCTGCTGCTCTTTCGCCATGGAGATGATCAGCAACTGTTCCATGTGGAATGTATTCGTAAACAAGGAGAAGTTCACGGCTGCGTCTTGAAGTGCAGCCATAAAGAGACACAAGATTTTGGTGCCTCAAACGAGTAAGAATCTCGATTTCAGTTGTGAACTGCTGCATTCTCTTGCAGTTGTGCTCATAGAGGCATTTTACTGCAACTTCTCTTCCATCATACAGTTTCCCTAATTCATAACGTGCAAGAACAATGAGATACTAAGTTTTCCAACACATGGTGAAAAGTGATCAGTTGAACACCCTTCGTCAAAATTATACCGTGTATATAGCAAGTATAAAGGTCAAAAGTTACATTTTATACATATTTATTAAAGGCATAAGACATAAACAGACACTCAAACTTGGACTCCGACGGCAAGTAAGCACTCCAATTGTGAGAGTGCACATCTAGATACCTCAACTTAGAGTCGATTGGCAACTAAACATTCCAACTCGTCCCCACTGTGTCTCGTAGACAGCCAACGTTGGCGTGACACATAAATTTTGGAGGTGGTTAGATGATCATTTTGTAAGTTGGAGTATTCAACTCACACAAGGGAGACGGTTGAGGTGCCTGGATGTTCATACTCAAAGTTGGAGTGTTTAGTTGCCAGTTTAGGCCAAATTAAAGTGTTTATACACCCTCAACGAAATTCTTGGTTTCGCCACCACTAGCTACTTTTCAACTTTTGGAAATTGCTGTATTTTTAACATATTTCTTAGGTTTACGAAAAACTTACCATAATATACAGTTCCAAAACCTCCATCTCCTAGTTCATTCAAGGGATCAAAATTGTTGGTGGCTTCCTTAAGTTCAGCATAGGTGAAAACTGGAACCTGAAATCCAAAATATTTGCTCTCTACCTCAAGATCCCGATGAAATTGAGTCGAACCAGGCTTCCTTCTCTTGCGAAACCAGATAGAATAGGCAACGGTGGAAGATAGTAGGATCAAACCAACTCCACCTAAAACTAGAAAACATAAGATACAATAATCAAAATCTAATCTTTTGAAAGTGTACTACAAAAAAAAAGGGAGCCTGGCTGGGGGAAGGGGCACACTGCAAGGGGTGTCATGTAGACAGCCTACCCTGATGCAGGCTTCAGTGGTTGATTCCACTGCTCAAAACACGAGACAACTTTACCGTCGCTCCAAAACCCCTACTAATATAAAAATGTGGTCATTGGCTAGATAATTACCTGAGGCCATAACAATCATTCTCGAATTACTTTGTTCATTTTGTCCTGCAGTAAAGGAAAAAAGATAAATCTTTTTAGATAAACCACAATACGAAACAACTAGAACAAGATTTATTTCTTGAAAATACTATATCTACCTTTAGTGGAACAATGAAACTCGTGTTCATCGATCAGCTGGCATTTCCCTCCTTTGTCAAGACACAGATGACAATCTTTGGATAACTCCCAGTTTAGAAGTGCATTAGAAGTCAACAATTCAAACAAGCCACCTGCATATGGTTTTGCTGGTGTAGGCAATGGAATTGGCAATTGTACAAATGAACAGTGCTTTGGAAGTTTGCCACTTATCTTAGCACTAGTATTTCCCAATATTGTTTTCTTGGGATGGTGATAGTAAACATTAAAACCTTCACACTCAGTATATTGATCAAAATCTTTGAAAAAAGAATCATTTGTCTTCTGGATGTTGTTTTTATGGCTATGTTTGCATTTGTACAAGGTTAAGTTAGGAACAATTTGGAAAGAAATCAAAGGGGAATTTGGAAATGAGAAGTTTCTGTCAAAAGACTTGCAACTTTTGTGCTCTAAGTACTCTTGAAGTTTAGGATCTGAAATAAGGAATAAATCACCCCTCTTCACTACAGCATCATATTTGTGTCCACCAAGTTTAATTGTAGGATATGGTTTAGTATGACAATCAAACCTGCATAATCCACACTCAGGGTTGGTGGTATTTGTGAAAGGAAACTTCATAGCTCCAAGGCCTCCACACTCGAACTCATCGGTGCAGTTGGATTTGGAATTACCTAGTACTTGATGTAGGCTAAAGATCACTACACAACACAAAAAAAAGAAAACAGAAGCCATATTGTTTACTCTATATGGTCTCACACAGCAAGAAATTGGAATTTAACCTTGTTATCTGGTTTATTTTTCTATATGTGAACTTGGAATTTTGTTACCAAGACTTTGGAAAAATGAAACAAACTTCAAGTGAGGGTCAAAATTAAAGACTTTTCCACTCTCCATTCTCATTGACTAAGTACTATGTAAAGACTTGAATCATTGACTCTTAAGATAAGAGTTTTCTGCTTTTTTTTTTCTGTTTCTAAGAAAATCTCATGCATAGTCTTAATAAGTATGTGCCTTCTTTCCTAAGCAGAAGGCAAGTATTTTGGATCACATCATAATTACTTAAGATAAAGGGAAGTTGGTAAGAACAGTAAGTATTTTGGTTATGGGTCACTTTTGATGGAATAGGTGAACCAAGTGCTTTAAAAAGTAGCTTGATATATCACACTCCGGCTTGACTGACTTCTCGAGTGAAACAGCAAAAGATAAGAGACTTTTCTGATACGAGAGAAAGAAAAATGACCTTTTGAGTGAAATAGCAACAGATTAACGACTTTTCTGATACAAAAGAAAGAAAGGTAACTTTCTTGTATCAGAAAAGTAACTTTGTTCACATTATTTCCAATAGTTGAATGATCAGATCATTGAAGAAATCAACTCGATGATCTTAACCAATAAAATTCCAGTCTCCATATCAGAAACTGTTTGAAGAGCTTTGTCCATTAGCTAAATGATCAAAGATAGTGAAGCTTTCTTGATATAACATGGGCTCTGGTCCATTCTGCATTTCTTTTCTTTCGTAAAAGAGAACAATCACAGAGTATCTCACACTGGTAGATGGAAGGCAGATCCATTTACAGTGTACATCCTGATAGGTTAGGCAATGTACTACTCAACATACAATCAGAGACCAAAACAATGAGAAGAAATGGAGCATAAAATATACAAACTTGTAAAACATCAAAATGTAAAGGGGGAATATGTAAAGCTGGACGGATAATGTTGGTTGTGGTAGAGCCACTAAACCACCTATCATCCGTGGAATATAGTGAAGAAATGGATAAGCATTTTCGGGCACTCAGTTCCTTTCCTGTTCCCAGAGCTGAGGCATTGGAAAACTTAGTCCAAATTGTGTATGGACGTAATCCCATAAAAATTTTGTCTACAGTTACCAAATTTGGTAATTCTTCGTTCTCTCACCCTGAAAGTGATGCGCAACTAACTTTTACACTGAATGTATTCATAAACTTCAGTGTTGTGTCTCTATGTGCAACGATAGAGAGTAACAAGATATGATGTCCTGGCCGTGTGAGAAGCTCCAAAGAGGCGCGTTTCACTGCTACGTCTCTTCTATTGCTGAGTTCACCTAAGAATGTGCACTGTTAGCAGCTGTATATATATTGAGTTACTAAACAACAACAGTACTATTATCTTAAAGAAAAATCTGCCAAATACCTGCTGATTTCCTGAATTTTGTAACTGATGCATTGTGTAGCTCCAGTCGATATGCTTCTCACCATGTCAAACTGTTCCAAAACCGCCATCACCATGTTCTGTAAAGGAAATATTATGCACACAGCACTATTTGGTCATAAGAACTGCACATAGTACCTGGTCAAAATCCAAGTAAAGTGGCTAATATTCATTTCAGTAACCTCAAATCCAGGATACCATGAAAAATATGCATGTTCATTAGTGCAGAAAGCATGTCCATATTCAGTAGTTATACTCCACTGTGTTCAGAAAATGGCGAACAAAGAACAAAACTAAAAACTAATAAAGATAAAAATAAAGGTTTCACCATCTTATTCCTTTACAGCTTATCAATGAGTACATATTTGTAACATTTACATTGAAATGAAAGCAAAGAGTGTAAGACTTTCACCCGCTAATATTACTACTGCCAGAGCTACTAACCCAGCTCTCAGTTACAGAAATAGGTGAAGGTGGCAAATGTATTTTCTTTAACAGAACTACTTTATCTGATGTAGGAGAAATAGGGACTTTTTCACCATTGCATTCTGTGTTATCGACAATTGAGTCATTCGTCTTCTCATCTTTGATGTGATCAGTATAGGTGCCTTGTATATGTTTAAGTGTCTCTAATACTTCATCCATTTTTGGTCTCAAGTCTGTTTCAAGCTGCAAGCATTGAAATGCTAGCTCTGCTACTGAAGTAGTCATTCTCATAACCTGTGCATCTGATTTAAATCCCAGAGATGGATCAATCAGCTCATCAAATGCACATCTCTGAATCCTGTTTATTGCTAAGTTGGCCAAATTGATTTCATGTCGACTCCTGGTAATATCAACAGCAGGCATTGATGAGATAAGTTCAACAAGGACAACACCGAAACTGTAAACATCACTTTTATCAGTGAGCTGGTAACATTCATGATACTCTGGATCAACATATCCAGCAGTCCCTTGAGGAGCAGTTGAGACATGAGTAGCATCATTTGGAAAAAGTCTCGAAAGCCCAAAATCTGCAACTTTGACACAACAATTGCTGTCGAGGAGTATGTTGCTAGTCTTTACATCGCGATGTATTGTGCCAGAAGCATGGAGGTAAGCCAATGCACAAGCAGTTTCTACAGCAATATTCATGCGGATAGGCCATGGGAGGAATCCGTCCTTTGCTCTATCCCCATTCAGGTGATCTGCCACTGTTCCATTGGGAATGTATTCATAAACAAGGAGGAGTTCACGGCTATGCTTTGATGTGCAACCATAAAGGGTAACAAGATTTCGATGCCGTAGGCGAGAGAGAATTTCAATTTCATTTTTAAACTGTTCCATTCTCTTGCAATTGTGCTCGTAAAGTCGCTTCACTGCAACTTCTCTCCCATCCTTAAGTTTACCTAGTAAGAAAGGTGGTACAAATTTAGCTATCTATTCGTGTCATTTGAACATCTGAGTTTCTTTCAAGATTCTTACCATAGTAAACAGCACCGAAACCTCCATCTCCTAGTTCATTGGAGGAATCGAAGTTACTTGTAGCTTCTTCCAGTTCGACATAGGAGAAGACCGAGACTCCATGGTAACTAGTACTTCCATCAAAATCATGTGTTAAGGAACGATCACAAGATTTTTTTCTCGAGGTGAAGTACAAACAACTTCTGTGTTCTTTCTTGTAACAACAAACAATGGAAGTGACCACAAGGATTATTAACACAGCTCCACCTAAAACTAAAAGGACCAAAATGAAGTTAACAAGATGTGGAACTATGTTGAAATGTCAAATTGAGGGATAATAATAATATAGTACTGGTTTACCTGAGCCAAGAATCAACCGCAAATTATTTTTCCCTGAAAATGAAGTAACGTCAGACAAGGAAGAAAATAGAACTTATAAAATGTTTCAGTGGATGAAAATGGACATACAGGACATGCATTTATAGTTATTGGTTTGGACCAGTAGGCAACTGCTTCTGGATGTGCTATACGACTTTAAAAATGTCCAGAGATTGTCGGTAAGACATTGGTTTTCTTTAACGCCACATTTAGAACAGCATCGAAAATCACCATATGAGAAAAATGCATAGGTCAATCTCAGACATGTTACCACTCTATGGACATGAATTAAGGCAGTGGAATAAGTGAACGGTAGCCTATAATCTCACTATCACCAAACTATACTCAATGCAAACTGGTAGTAAAAGAACGGAAAAGAATATAATCCTCTCCAAATCATATTATGCAGTTTATAGTACGTCCTCCGTTTCAATTTAAATGTATTACTTTCCTTTTTGGTCTATCCCAAAAAGAGTGTCTCTTTCTATATTTAGTTAACTTTCCAATTCCAACATTAAGACCACAAGATTTAAAGGACTACACACATCTTTATTTATTGAACTCTGTGTCTAATCAAACTAAGACTCTTAAATTGGGACGCAGGGAGTTATACATAAGAGAAGAATTTTGGATGCTTGTGATACACATGAAAGCCTCGCCGATAGTTGTTAGCTTTTATGACTCTGCAAATAATCAGTATCTTATGCCTAGAATCTAAAAGTTGCAGATGGTAATAGTAGTTACCATCACAACAATGATTCTGGCAAGACCGATCAGAGCGATAACAAAACAGGTTCACCATTTTCAGACCCACAATGGTTGCTGTCCTTTCAAAGTCACTAACTTATTCCAGACAATTGTAGTATTAATTATTTTCCGACAACCTTAAATGGCCTATGTATCGGCATTTCATATTGTTTTTCTTTTTCCTATTTCAACAGGTGCAGCAACATATGACTCTAAAGGCATTGCACTACAATCGACTTGGTTTTTCCCCTTGTCTAAAACAGGATAGGGATGATTCACATCATTTGAAGTACAAGCAATTGGATTTTTAGCATACTTTTTGGGAAAGGATTAATTAAACAATTATAGATTTACTATAATATAGTTGAACTAAATGTGAAGGGAGATTGATCAAAAGCAATAAGCCTCCGAGGAGCTATGCAAGAAGAATTCACTATGTCAGCATTCACAAACCGAAATGATTGGGTACCATAGGAGATAATTTTGGTAATGTAGTGACTGCTGGAAGATTAGTACAATGGCGTAAATAACCAAAACATACCCAGTGTAATCCCACAAGTGGGGTCTAGGGATGGTGGTGTGTACGCAGACCCTACCCCTACCTTGAGAAGGTAGAGAGGTTGTTCCCGCTCAAGTAAAATTATATTTAACATATTCCAAGTATAAAACATAGTTGTTGTTGCAATTTTATACCTATATTTGAAGTTAGTAAAGTAAGATAAAAATCAGCTCTTGATTACATACTTCTGAAATGTTCTACTTGTTCTTATTTTAAGTTTGACTAGGTTTTACATGTCGCAGTTTCCTACCTATATTAAAGTCAATAATGTAAGTTCTGATTCCGTCAAACAAGCAACTGCTCAATATGAGCAGCCAATGTAAACATACTAATTACAGCTGTGGTTTGTTAACGACCCCGTTGCTGAGTTCATATTAGCCTACTTTATTTGATCATGTCAAACTATTTACCTAGTCCTTCATAAGTATCATAGAGATCGCTTCTTAGACATGAATTATCATAGATAAAGCTCAAATCAGAGGTGATCCCAAGCGGTATTCCTTTAAAGGCCATTTGAGACTATAATTTTGTATTCAAAATGTAAAGTTGAATGGGTTAAGAAAAAAGGAGATTAAGTGGCCTATTAGATTGAGAATAGAATTAAAGAACTCTTTAATTGGCACCTCATATACTTAACAAAATAATACCGGTGTAACCAAAACATTAACAGGACAAAAGATCAAGCCACAAAATGCTTGGATTAATCAAAATAGACACCATTCAGCAGCTATAACGATATTTTCTTGGCTAAACACATTTTGTCATAAACACATTATAATCATCCATACGATGAATTCAGTTGAATCAACAACAACATACCCAGTGTAATCCCACGAGTGGACGGGTGGGTGGGATGTACGCAGACCTTAACATACCTTTTTGAGGTAAGAGGTTGTTTCAAATAGACCCTCAGCTCAAAGAAACGTTTTCATAGCAGGATTCCAAGAAAAATATGACAGCAAAATAACAAGATATAAAGCGATTGAAACATTAGATAGTGATTCTCATTAAAGAATAAGAAAATACGTGATACTAAATTATACTACTAATAAGGATTTAATCAGCTTATCATGTCGCCTAAATCATCAAGTTACATTTTTTGGGTGCTTGTAATCACACGTAAAGAACCTAAAGCACGGAGCATAATCATAGGATAAGGTGCTGCAAATTTATACTGGAAATTTAACTTATCCTTAGAAGCTATAAGGATATTTCCTTGGCTACACTTTGTTGTAAACACATTATTAATCATCCACAGCTATATCCATTCGATTAATTCAGCTGTATCTTAATGCCTAAATCATCAAGCTATAACACGAAAATATCTTAAAGCTTAACTGGTAAATAAGGTTATAGGGGCTTACCGGAAGGTTTGCAACTCAATGCATGAGGTCTATCTGTGCAGTAACATTTGAATTGATAGTTGATAACATCAAATCCGCAATGTCCTCTACTTGCTGCACATTCACTGCAGTTACTAGCAGTCCATTTCAATCTAAACCCCCTTCTCAAAAGCCCCCGATAGTCAACATCTCGATTACTTCCCTCATCACCAAGCATTTCTACTGGTACCATTACATGTTTTTCACACACTTGTAATGCAGAGTCAAAGCTCTCATCATTAGCAAACATTGCAAGACCCCAATCATTCACATTTTCTCCACCACAACCAAAACCAATCCTGTGCTTCGAAAGATTCTGGTATATCGAACCATTACACTTCGACAACAAGTAAAATTCTGGTTCCTTAATAAACTTAAAAGGGCGATTATCGAGTGACACATTCTTGATATCAGAAACACATGCATTCCTTACACTACTGTTAAAGACTGAATTTTTAAGCTGAAAAGTATGATCTTGATATCTAATATCTTCAACTACATACTCATTTCCAGCAATATGTACAACAGGAAACCCTTGTTCACTACAATTTAGCCCAAATCCAGGGTACCCACAGTAAGATTCTTGAACATCTTCAATATAAAATGGAAAGCTTATTCTTGGACCATATCTACAATTTACTGATTTATTACACACTACAAACTGTGGATCAACAGCAGAACATTTATCTATTTGCAAAATGAAGCATAAAACACAAAGGTTTGATGATACTATCAAGAAATACCTTTTTTCTTGGTTCATCTGTAATCTTGAGAACACCTGAAAATATACAAACTAAACAAGTAGATAATGAAAAATACACTAAAAAGAGAAAAGGGGTTTCTTGGGTTTTTTCCTTTAGAAGAAAGATTGAACTTTTAAGCAAAAATATGGATTTTTTTGCTTTACAAATTCTCTACAACTGGTTCTGACAAAAGGGTTGACTATGTATCTACCTCCAATCACACAAAGATTGAATTTTCAAGATAATTTTTTAACCAAAAAATAAAAAAAGTTGCATTTATTGACCAATAAACTTTTTGACTGATGATTATTAAGCTTCAAATTGCAATAAAAATGGCTGCTTTTAGTGTCATTAGTCATATTCACAGAGGATTATTATAGTACAATTAAAGAGGGACACGAGTTTCTTGCTCATATGTCTGCTGCAATTTGCAGCTCTACTCCTATAGCAAAAAGATTGGATTTTTAGCTCGCCGCCATAAATTTTGGATTAAATTTTGAAAATTTATTTTCTTATATGATTAGTTGGTCGTAAAATTTGAGCTAATATTTGATTATAAATTTTTTAAGTCAAATCTTAAAAGTTTACGTTTAAATATTGGTTTTACTATAAAAATTTAATTCGAGTTTAAAAAATATGATCTTCGCTATCCCTCCTACTCCTACGCCACTCATAAAAATTTTTAAGAAAATTCATAACTCATAAACTATAAAGAAAAAGAATATGGCAAAATACATGTTTAAATAAAAATTTAAGAACCAGAAACTCAAATTTTCAATTTTCAAGTTTGATTGTCAAAATTTATATCCAAACGAAAGCTTAATCTATTAACTTTTTGAATTTTTTATCTAGCATTATTTAATTTGCGAAAGATATTTTTTTATTTTTTTTTATATTTGACTTCTTGAGAAGCTCCAATTCTAAGGTAATTTCAACTATAATCAAAAGTTAAATCGTAATTTTTTTCATTTTCTTTCAAGAATAATATTCATTTATTTTTTTATTGAAGTATATGTCAATTATTTTATATAAATAATCTCCTAAACAAAGATCTTAGATTCTTTTGTAAGTAATATTCATGATTAAAATATTGACTTTTCTCCTCCTTGTTGTTGACCTTTCATATTTTTGTATGTATTGAAGTTTAAGCTTGGGATGTACACATTAATATTCCTATGATGTAACATATTAAATTGTTACATCCTTTTAAGTTTTTAAAACAAAAATAGAATATATTCCCTTATTTGATTTTTTTATTTTTAAATTATTTGTGACGATTACGTGTTTGATACATGATTATCATTACAATTTTTTTAATTTAATAAATTTAAAGCAATTGCCTAATATTTGAAAGTCCTTTTTTCCTAAAATAAATATTCTTTCATCAATCTCTCGAATATTAAAATACAAGTTATATGATTCTTTTATTCCTTGCAAATATTAAATGAGCGAATCAAAATGACCATTGAATTATATATTCTACAACTAACATATGTCCAATTTAATAGCGACGCACAATGCAAACGAACCTAAATTGCTACATCGAATCACCTTTTTTAATTGTCTCCCTCCAATAGGATTTGTGAACCTAAAAGGAGTGATATTTATTTATTATATAATATTTGGTGAGTCACAATTCAATTTTTGAATTTCAATTGGTTTTAGTACCTTTTTCTTTATTTCATAGGAGGAGTACTTATATACAAAAAGATAATGAAATTATATTAAGTATTGGTTTGATTAAAAAGGTCATTTTCTATTAAGTTAAAGTACAAGTGTTAGAAATTGACTTTTATAAAATGAAAAAAAAAAGTTGATTTTTCACACATAATTAATGTGTATCTAAATAATGAAGCAATATTAGTTAGTGATGCAAAATAGAAAAGACTTGATATTAATGAGCCAAAGGGGATGTATTGTGATTATGAAGGATTAAGACAAGACTTAAATGCCAAAATTTCAACTAATGTTGAATCAAAGTTTTTTTTAACATCTGAGGTCGGTATAACGAGTATTTAAAATAAAATATTTCTTAAGAAAAAAACGAATTGAGAGATATACTGTATATATGTGTGTCAAAATCAATTTTGTCATTTTATGGTCGAATTAACATGAGCTTACTTCGATCGTTTTATTCTGTACATGTTATTTTTTATCAATAGAAACTAATTCAAAATTTGAATTATATAGATCCTATAATTTTACTTTAACTGAATTATCGTATTCTAAATAAATAAATCATACAATATGAAAAAATATTTTAAAATATAAATACAAAGTTTGGGTTAAAACTAATAAATATATTCATATTGCCAAGCTATTACCTTTTCATCCGCTTTTGTACATCAGTTCAAGTATTTGATATTTCTGCATCAATGAGAAGCAAATTGTTAATTAATTTTTTTTATTGAAGTCAGAATAATGATCTTAAAAATTACACTCATTCTATTAATCAAAAACTATATCTAAAATTACGAATTTAATAAAACTCAAAAATTTAAATATATTTATATTGACAATTAACCCTAATAAGTGGCAACATCACCTTTTATATCTTGATAGAACATATTGGATCTTTCATTTATGGCCACTCAATTGGATTCTATTGTCAAAGTTTCATAATTCCACTTTTTTAGAGAAGTGGTTCAAAAATATCCACATACACTATAGTTTTATTTAGAGACATTTCGCAAATAAATTAATTGTTTTATTTTGATAAATATTTATTCACATCAAATAAATAAAGATAATATATTTTGTTTTATTTTATAACTATGAGTAAGTGATATGTATTTTATTTTAACTTTTAGTTATTTAATTTGACCTCGTTAATTTTGTATAATTAATTAAACACCTGATATAAATAAGCGTTATAATTTTCTTTTAAATCGGTAATTTAAATTTCATTTATAATTTTTAATAATGTAAACCCTTTAACTAAATGAAAAAAAATATATTTTCAAAACGATTTTGATCTAAATCAACTTATTAGAATACGTTGAATTTCCACTTAATTATTTTTTTCCCCTCAATTTTTCTAATGTTTGCTAAGAAAGCAAAATAAAAAGATAAATTATAAATTATTTTAGGAAAATTTGTATATAATGGCAAACTAATAAATCAAATTAATTGCTATAATCACCCTTTAATTTAATTGTGCCCCGTAGCAAACTGTTTGTCAGTCACCTCTCTCCCTCAAACTCTCGCTCGCTTCCTCTGACTTTTATACAAACACATGTGTATAAAATCGTTTCTATTTGTATAAAGTGAGAGGAAATTGTATAAATGCATATATTTTTGTTCCCCTCTCCCAGATCTTGCTCACCACCCTCGCCTCTCTAGCTTATACAAACAGAAACGAAATGTATAAATTGTGTTTCTGTTTGTATAAAGCGAGAGAAAATTGTATATACACATGCAAATACATATATTTTCGTCCTATACACTTATAATTATACAATAAAAATATTCCCCTGCCAAGTTCCTGTTGCCTTTCTCTCTTTCTCGTTTTATACAAATTCAAATTGTATATAATTTCTCTCTTTCTCGTTTTATACAATTCGATTCAATTGTATATTCTCTACCCAAGTCTCTTTTGCCTTTCTCTCTTTCTCGTTTTATACAAATTCAAATTGTATATAGTCGTTCTATACACTTGTAATTATACAATTCTCTGCCCAAGTCTCTTTCTCTTTCTCGTTTTATACAATTCGCTTCAATTGTATATATATAGAGAGAATTATACATGCATACATATATATATATATATATATATATATATATATGTTTGTTTGTTATGGAGTGCAATTATACAAACTTTGTTATAGCATACAAATATAAATTTTATGTTTACTATATGTGAAAGTTGCCAATTATTTTTGCTAGGTAAGTTTATATTTTGGCCCAATAATGTTTAGAATTAGGTTTAAAATGTTAGGATTTTGTTCCTTCTTAAGAGTAATAATTGGTAATTTGGGCTGCAAGCCCACATTGAGCTGAGTTTAGCAACATTTTAGAGAAAGCCCAATTAGTGCTTTGGCCCAATATTTGGTTCTCTCATCTTCTTCGTTCTTCGTATGCGTTTCGATTTGAATTGATTTTTCTCTATAAAGAAAACAAATCAATTAACTCCTTGTTAACTAAAATTAACATTGTATCATTTTAATTAGTTTGTTTGCATATTGTTGACTAAACTTTTTGACTTCATATTTCACTAGTGTATTGTATTTTAAAATGGGGCATTCTTTAGCAAAAGTTATTTTTCAAATTTGAAAATAAGTAAATTTTTAAAGGGAGAAAAGTCTCTGTTTATTGATTAGTGAATAATATTTTCTGACAAATTTAAAAGTTAATAAATGAAATAAATATCAAAGACAGGTAAATAGTATTGAAGTACTGTTTGAAGCTATGATAAGAGCTAAAATAATTCCTATCTATAACAATCATACTTGAATGTGACAATTATTTTATAAAAACTTTGGATCACAAAATGCACTTTAAAATATGTGGTAACAAATTAATACACAACAGGCACATGTTATATTCTTACGATTAGTGGCGGAGTCAGAAATTTCTTAAAGAGTGTCTAGATTTAACAACTTATTATGTCAAGGGTATTCAAAATAGGTTTTGTAATCATTTTACTTGTACCTATATTAATTTTTTTCGACGAAGGGTGTCCAATTAATAGTATGCGACTATCCCACTGCTTACAATCAATTTATCAACAAGTGTATAAATAAAAAATCTCCAATATTGTCTGTTCTATTTTTATTTTAAAAATATCAATTTAAATTAAAGTTACTAGCAAGACTAGCATGATTCTTGCAAGATGATTAAAATTTCTCTATTTTTCGATCATATATTTCAAAGGTTATTTCTTTGGAATGGAAACATTATGTTAAAAGTGTTGTCTCCAGGAATGAGCATTACAATACGTGAACTTAAATTTAATCAAATCTTATAAATTAGTATTTATTACTTTATTACGATTGTTATCAATACGTATGAGAGTTGAGATGTTTTAACTAATCTTACGAATGACTTAATTATCAAAAATATCAAAATTCATGACAAATTTAAAAGGTTGTCGATATTTAATCGCCTCGTATTGCGTGTCGCCAAGGAAATCGCATCGTTTCCGTCCTCTTTCGCCGCGTC